TCCCCCTTCCCCCCACTCATACCCCCCCCCTTGCATGACGACCGATGACGTCACCAGGTGGTCCTGCTGCGCAACCGCGACAGGATCCAGCAGCTGTGGCCGCCGGTGATGGACCACCTGGCAGCCATCATACGCGGAAAACGTGAGGGGGGCGACACGTGCAGGTTCTGACACGCGAGCGCCGCGTCGCGGCACGCGCCCGGCCGCCGCCGATTCAAATTTTTTCGCCGACGCCTGCAATCGCTGCCTTGATTCCCGACTGCACCTGGGAGACTGCCAGCCACACGTCCTTAATCGGTTGATGCCCATGCACACACACACACATACACACACACACACACACACGCATACACACACACACGCCTGCTCTCGGTCCCCCGTCGCCTGCCCACCTGCCCGCGCCAGAGGTGGACGGCGCGGTGGTGGCCGCGGCCGCGACGGGCGTGCTGCGGCTGTGCCAGCGGCTGCTGCCCTACAAGCCGGACGCGGCCGAGCCGCTGCTCAGGGGGCTGCAGCTCGTGCCAGGACTCGCACCAGAGGTGAGGGGGAGGGGCCGGCTGATGAGGGATGTGCACACACGCCAGGCGATGCCGGCCACGCGGGCCGAACGGCCGGGCGGGCGGGCCGGCCCGGGTCGTTGGGGCTCGCTCATGCTTTGTGCAGCGCACGCTGCGGCGGCGCGCGTTGTTGCCTGCGGGGCTCGGGCGTGTGGCGGATGGACCGCGCCGCCACAACCAGGGGTGGCTCGGAGGCTTGCGGCGGGGCCGCCTTCTTCTTGTGACAGCCTGCCCACCCTGACATGCGCCCCTGTATCGTTTTCACACACTGTTACTCACTTGCACACTCACGCGCGCTCTCACGCACACACGCATACACACACATGAGCGCACATAAACACATGCACAAACATGCCTGTGCACTCTTCCTCCATGCCAGGTGGCATGGGACAATGCGGAGGCCATTGCGGCCGAGATGCTGGCGCTGGTGCAGGTGGGGGCCTCGCCTGCTGCCCTACTTTCCGATGTTGAAGTCGGGCCAACCAAGCCACTAGGGCCCGTTTGGTCGCCTCGGTCACAGTAAATTGCATTGTTCCTGGGCTCTGTTGCAATTGGCAGCTCACCTGGTGATATCAGGGGAGTGCCTTGGCTGCTAGCCAGCTCTGGCTGCACACACGCACACACACACACGCCCACACAGACACACACACAAACACACACACACACACATCCATACACACACAACCATTCAAAGACACACAGACACACAGACACACACATTGCTACACACAGTCGCACACCAACCACAGATCAGACACGCTCTCTCCCCCAAACCCCCGGCACTCTCCCCCCAGGCGGCGTCCCCCCACATCAAGGCCCAGTGGGCGTGGGCCAGTGTCTGCAACCTCACCAAAATGACGTCAGTCAAGAGGGAGGCATTCCCCATTAGCCTGGAGGCAAGACACGGGGGGGCAGGGGGGGTGTCGGGGGCACACACCTGGGGATGGGGTTTGGGCGGGGTGGTGCAAAGGAGACTTGCATGTTTGTGTGTGAGAGGGGGGGGCGTGTATGGGGTGCGTGTTTGGCCTGTGCGTGTGCTTGTAAACGGGGGGCCTGATGGCGGGTGCTTGTCTTTCATCGCCTGAAGATGCTCGAGACTGCGCCCGGCGTGGCGCGGCGCCGAGTCGCGCTTGGGGAGATCGGCCCCCGGCTCGCACCCACGACGCGCGCCAGTCCCGTCATGCACCCCCCCCCCCTCTCCGTCGGCCCCCGCAGGCGCTGTCTTGGGTGGTGCGCGAGGCGCTGACGCCGCTGAACTACGTTCTTGCGGTGGAGGCTGCGGTGTGGTTCGTGGAGCGCGCGGCGGCGGAGCACCCGGCAATGAAGGTATGCGTTTTGAGGGGCGGAGGGGGGGATGGGTGGCGCCTGTGGGGAGGGCACCGCGGCCGCGCCACGGTGTTGACGTTGTGGGAATAGTAGTAGAGGCCAGAGCGGGCCAGGGGCGCGGCTGGAGGGGCCGACTGTCGGCGGCCCAGCGATGGGACATCCACTCTTGTACACGTCCCTGCCCCCATCAACTTGTGCACGTGCAGCTGCTCGCATCAGGGGTTGTACACACACACACACACACACATACATCCACAATCACAATCATACACATGCAAGCGCACACACACACACACACGATAACAATCACACACGATACGCACAATCACACTCACAGCCTGAGGTGTTGGAGCTGCTGCTGGTGCTGGCGGCCTGGCTGGAGGGCTGGTCCGCCAGCCTCGCAGGTGTGGGGGGGGGGCCTGGGGCGGAATGATGTCAGCAGACCTTCCCCCCCTCCAAAAACCCTAAACCTTAAACCCTAAACCCTCACGAGACCCTGCAACCCCTTCATGAGCCACCCAAAACCCCGCCGCCCGCAGCCCCCACATGCCTGAAGCAGACGGCCGCAGTAGCCACCGCGCCCACAACCCCCCCCCCCCCCCTTGACCACCTCTGGAGCGCATCCTCAGCAAGCCAGCTCTGTATCATAC